ACATATTTTTATAATCACCTCCAGTCTAGTTTACATTTGCCATTATACAAGTAATCATTTTTACTCAGTTTACCCATCCCTCACCCCATTCCCCTCTGATAATTACTGATTTCTCTTATCTAAGAGATTGTTTTGTTGTTTGTCTTTACTTGTTCAAACTCTAAAAATATTTTATTGAAGTATTATTGGGTTAAAACATTAGAATTTAGATGTACAAAATTTTATTTTCACATATGTATATCTATATTATGATCAGCACCCACTTGTTGATCCCTTTTACCCAATTTACCCACCCCCCCTTACTCATCTGGCAACCCCCATATTGTCCCTATAATCTGAGAGTTTTGGTTTGTGTGTTCATTTCTTTTGTTACTTTATCTTCATATATGAGTGAAATTGTACAGTATTTTCCTTTTTCCATCAGATTTTGTTTTTGTTGAGGTAACGTTGGTTTACAACACTATATAATTGAGAAATCTAGCTCACACCTTCAGAAGCATATCACCACACCTCACACCCTACCAAGGAACCTGTGTCCTCCACCATAGTCCATTAGACAGCCTCCACATTCTACTCTCTACTATCACCATCATCCTCTGGTATATCCTCAATTCTGCAGACTTTTAGGGTTTGTATTGGTTTAGTTCTGACACTTTGCTTTGCTTCTCTATTTTTTACATATGAATAAAGCCATCTGGTACATGTCTTTCTTCTTCTGAATTATTTTACTTAGCATTAGCATCACTTCTAGTTACATTCATGTTGTCACAAAAGGTAGAAGTTCATATTATTAAATAACTGAATAGTGTTCTATTGTGTACATATACCACATCTTCCTAATCTACTCATCTGTCCTTGGGTACTTAGGTTGTTCTATAAATTGGCTATTGTAAATAGTAAATAGTAATGTGATGAACACAGTACGTATTTCCCTTTGAATTAGGGTTTTGCACTTTTTTGAGAGATACCTGGTAGTTGAATTGTTGAATTGTGTGGTAAATCTATTTTTAATATTTTGCAAAACCTTTATGGTGTTTTCTATAAGGACTGGACCAGAATACATTCTCACCAAATTCATACAAGGGTTCCTTTTTCTCCACTTTCTCACTGGCACTTGTTTCTGGTCCTTTTGATATGGAATAGTCTTCAAGGTATGAGATGGTATCTTGTGGTTTTAGTGTGTGTTTCCCTGGTAATAAGTGATGATGAGCATTTTTTTCATGTACCTGTGTCTTCTTTAGAGAAGTGTCTTTTTAGCTCTTCTGCCCATTTGGCAACTGGGTTATTTGTTTTCTTTTTTTTTTTGTGAATTCTATGAGTTATTTGTAGATCTTGTATATTAGCCCCTTGTGAGATGTATGATGCGCAAATATTTTCTTCCATTATATAGTATGTACTTTTGTTTTAATAATAGTTTCTTTTGCTGAGCAGAAGCTTTTTAGTTTGATGTAGTCCCATTTGTTTATATTCTCATTTCTTTTGTCATTGGAGATGAAGCCACAAAGTCATCACTGAAGCCAGTGTTGTTGAGTTGTTTTGCCTGTGTTTTCTTCTATTCATTTTATGGTTTCAGGTCTTATATACATGTCTAATCCATTTTGAGTTAATTTTTTGTATATTTTGTGAGGTAGTGTTCTCGTTTTATTCTTTTGTGTGTGCTGTCCGGTTTTCCCAACATCATTTGTTGTTGAAGAGGCCTTCCTTTTTCCAATGCTTATTCTTTGTACTTGTGTCATAGATTAACTGCACAGAAGTGTGGATTTATTTCTGAGCTCTCATTTCTATTCCTTTGATCTGTGTGTTGTGTCTATTTTTATTGCCTTACTGTTTTGATTACTATAACTCTATAGAATAGTTTGAATCAAGAGTGTAATACCCTTTCTTTTCTTTTTTTGGGGTCAAGATTGCTTTGGATATTCAGTGTCTTTTATGGTCTCATGTAAGTTTGGGTAATGTTTGTTCTTTTTCTTTGAAGAGTGCCATTGAAACTTTGATAGGGTTACTTTGAATCTGTATATTGTTTTGGGTAAATGGTCATTTTGACAATTAATTCTTCTGATCAATGAGCAGGGAATGTCTCTATTTTTCTGTGTCTTCTATTTCTTTTAACAAAGTCATTATGTCATTATGGTTGTCATGTCTAATCTTTTTATTATGTTGTTGAATTCAGTTTGCTAAGATATTGTTGGGGAGTTTTCATCAGTCTAACTCTAGAGCCAATGCTTCTCCACCACTTTGCTATACCATCTTTTGTCAGCAGATATTTTTGAAATTACTGTAAGTTAAATAGGGGAAGGTAAGTTGGCTAATAACAACTGACTTCACTGAAGAAGATTTTACATGTAGTAATCACAATTTATGTAACTGCAGTGTGCAATCAAATACCTAAAGGGATATAGACAAAATGAAAAGTAGTACCCAGTGGTAGTTTTTAAAATTTTCTCATACAATCTAGTTGGTTGTGGTATATCTTATTGTTTATATATTTGTCACAACTTTTACCAACTTAGCGTTCCAACAACTTTACCAACACAGCTTTTGGTAACTATCAACAATAGTGAATACATTATGAAAAATATTGACCTAGTTCCTCTTGGGAGGAATACTGAACAATGTGTGCTAAATGTGAATCATATAAGTTATGAACCTGAATGCTAGGACAAATAGTTTGATCATTATTTTTCAGGACCTGTAAAGCCACTGGAGATTTCTAATAGGTTGTGGACCTGGTGATATAACTCATATTCTATGAAGATTCATCTGATTGTGGTGTGCAGAATGGTTGGAATGGGGAAGTAGTGGGGACCAAAGAACATTTAGGAAGGACCTGAAATCATTCAGATAAAAGATTATGATGTGTACATAAAATCATTCCTCCTTGGCCTCTAACTTTACGATTGCAGCCCCACCATTTTAAGGCATTCTCCCAATGGTAACCATTGGGGTTGAAAATATGAAATTGTTTGGGGGAAAAGTTTCCCCAAAGATGAAAATGAAATTTTCATGTGAAATTTAAGATGTTTGGAGGAATAGATAGAGGTCTTGGATGACTGGTAAGATTTTACAGTAGATCTATCTAAAGATTCCACTCTATTCAACCCTTCCCAATGGCATTTTCTATTCTTTCATCATGGGGACTTCAGAGATACGGGGAATGCTGGTGTCAAAAACACTACTGGTAGGGTTTCAAGTCAACAAGATAACAGAAATGGTGGGGGAAAGTTACCTTCCTGGAGTTTATTCTTGGCCCCATATGATAGCACAAACAGACATGCCTTTTTTTGGCTGAGCTATCCCATGGTTGTTTAAAAAATACAGCAGTGTTGGGTCTCCCCTGGTGGCGCAGCCTCTGCAGCGCCGCCGGTTCCCATTCTGGCCGGCCAGTGAGGGTCCCACATGGCGAGTTAGACCTGTCTCGCCTGCTGCTCCCCTCAGCAGTGTGTTTTGTCAGTCTGCCTCTTGTGTTCCCCGCTCTGTCTCTGGTGAATCCTCTCACCCTCTCGCATCTCTTGCCTTTACCCTGGTTCTTGTATAAATAAATAAATAAATCTTAAAAAAAAATACAGCAGTGCTTCCTCACCATTTTCCATGGTTCCAGTTACGTGTGGTCAACTGTAGTATGAAAATATTTTATAGAACAAGACCATATTTGCATAATTTTAATGCAAATATTATAGTTGTTCTATTTTTTATTAGTAGTTGTTTTGTTAATCTCTTATTGTGCCGAATTTATAAGTTAAACTGTATCATCTGTATATATGTATAGATTTAAAAATACATAGTATATATAGAGTTTGGTACTATCTGCAATTTTAGGCATCCATTGGGGGATTTTGGAATATATCCTACATGAATAAGGGGGGACCACTATATCCAAGCACATGTTTCATTGTATTATAAATCTAGATGACTAATTTTAAACCATTATGATTCTAAGAACAATGAAAAAAGCAAATAATGTCTTAGTATTATTCATAAAATAGCTTTGACCTCACAGGACTTTGGAAAGGGTCTTGGGGACCCTGCTATAGAGCATGATTAATGGTTTATAGACCAAGCCCCAACACTGTGGTAGTCATGGATGATTTCCTGGAGAAGATTATGCCCAAAATTAATTATGGAGACAAATTACTTGGGTGAAGGTAGGATAGAGAAAAGAAAATGCTAAACAGTGTGTCTGGGGAGGAGGGGGCAGTCAAGATGAACAAAGAGCTAGGATCTGATCAGGAAACTGCAATCACTCAGTACAGCTGGAGCAGAAAGTACAGAATGTAACTCTGAAGGCCATTGAGGGGACCTTGATGGATTTTAAGTACAGAGACAGGATCAGATTTATATTTTGGAAAGGTTGCTCTTGATAAACTGAGGTATGTCTGTATGAATAAATGAATGAAGGAGGGAAGGAAGGACAGAGTGAAGGAAGGAAGGAGTGATAAACTGATGTATATTGTTGTAGACCCAAGTCAAGACTGCAGCTGTGGGGACACAGAAAAGGGAAAGTTTCAGAAATGATAAGGGTGGTGTACCCATGGAAATGTGGGACATATTGGATGGGAATGGGTGAACGAGAGCTGAAAGTCAAAGGTGAGGCTGAAAGGCCAGGTGTAATTTATCGGTTACTTTGGAAAACCACTATTTCTCCCCTGAATTTATATTTACTACTTAAACTTCTTAGAATTAGTATTTCAAGCACATAAAAATAGAGGGAAATATACAATAAAGGTCCCTTTTAACTTATATTTTATATTGCATATGTGACTTTGTTATACATGGTTTGTATTGTATAATTCATATATTGTAACTTTAGTGGTTACATATTTATTAAAACATGTATAGGAAGAGAAAAATAAAACTAGAACATCAAATCCATTATTGCATGGGTATCTTTGTTTAGCTGACTACAAAAATGTGAACTAATTTGAAGTACATCTAAAAATCCATCACACCTTCCAATTATCACTGACTCATGACCAAACTTGTTTTATCTGTATTTCCTACAGCATCTCACCCACCTATTCCTTTGGATAACTTTGAAGCAAACCCCAGATGTTATATTACTGCATTGGTAAATATTCCTCTGTGTGTCTGTAAAAGTAGACTTAAAAAACAAACAAACAAACAAACAGACCATTATCTTAACTAAAAAATTACATTCACTTGTTCATATAATCAAATATCCAGTTATGGTTCACATTTCCCATTTTCCTTACACACTTAAAAATTAATTGTTTGAATCATATATAAGAGTCACAAATTGTCTCTTGTTAAAGGAGGAGCTGGGAGTTGAACACAGCTTCTTGGTACAGAGTTACTTTTCTATCCTATTTGCAGGATTACAGAAACAAAACACCAGAATTGGAGGTAGATGCAGATATCACCTAGAGAGTGCTTCTTTAGCTGTAGTGGACACACAAATCACCTAGGGATTTTGTGGAAATGAACATTTTGAGTCAGTCGGGTCTGGGGTGGGGTCTGAGATTCGGCATTTACAACAGCCTCCTATGTGATGAGTTGCTGCTGGGTAATGAAGCCCACTTTAAATAACAGGGCTCTGGAATACTTTCCTGCCTGGAGAAGATACTCTTTTTTGACACCCCTGCCTGGTGAACATGTTGCTTTTACATTTATAATTAGAAACCTCTCTTCTTCCTTACATAGTGCCAAGGTCTATGCTATTTTAACTTCCACCAGTTGGTGACTTCCTGGATGAAAACCTCATAGTATAGTTTAATACCTTATGGATAACAAACAAATATTAGTTGAAGTGGAATTAGTTATAAACCTGACCTCTGAATCTACACGGGATAAATATAGTCCTGTTGATATTGGGCAGATTCTAAATATTAAAAAATCAGAAACATCAGATATTTCCATCATTGTTGCTTTTAAACAATAGCCATGGAAAGAGAAATGGATATGTATATCTCAAAGAGCCTGTTGCCCCTCCTGCCACCCATTTCTTACTCATTTATTGTATCTGTCCGAGCTGGTCACAAAGATCTGGCTCTGATGCCTCTGATTGCACCTGCAGATGATGAAAAATGAAGAGATAAAAGTTGATAAAGGATCCTAGAAGTCTTCCTTTCTATTCTGAGCTTGAGAGGCAGCCAACTGTAGTGGCTGAGAGTGGAGAGCTGAAGCAAGGCCATTGGTTTTGAACTACAGCATCGCCACTTACTGTGTGACCATGGGCAGGTAATTTAACTTCTCTGAAGTTCATCATGTATAAAATCGAGATAATGGAAATACCAAACTCATAAAGCTAGTATTTGTAAAATGCTAGGAACACAGTTCAGTGTTAAATATGTTTTTGTGTGGAAAAAGTTGACATCACTCTGGAATAGGAGCCTATTTTATAGCCCCTGGGATAGGGAAGACTGGGGCTTGAAGCAGCACGTGGAGATCTTTCCAGGCTTGCCGGGACCATTTATGTGTACAGCCCTACTGCTCCTCATTAATTCTAGACAATGAACAACTGTCCTCAGAGAACAACAGTTTCTCTATTTGTCAGAAATAGAGAGAGCATACTTTTAGAGAAAGAAGGCTTTCTCTGCTTTGATGTTTGTCTAAACCCATAGCCCAGCACCACATCATTAAAAAAAATTCCCAGACCCATTGGAAAACCAAATGCATGAATGGACTGTGACAGCTGAGATTTATGATACCGCCATATGCTGCTTGTGGTATTCCTGGACATTTCCTTCATATGCACTGAATAAATTTGGGCTGACTGATGGAAGATGGTGAAGATGGAAAAAGTAAAGCCTCATTTCTCTCTTCTCTTGTAACACTGGGTAACTTCTATATTAGCCCGTGTTTCCTTGTCTCTGCCCCATAGCTCATGCTGTATCGAGGTGGAGTGTACTAGCTTGCTGAAGTCCTAGCCATATCTCCTGCCAGTGCAATCTCCTGACCACTTGCTTTGGTATCCCTCAGTATTTTGTGTCTTTTCTGTGGGTCAGTTATGGAATCAGAGGGAGAGCATTAAGCATGAGGAAACTGGGCTCAAAATCTAGACCTGAGACATACTGCAGGGGAGGAGGAGGGAGAGGGGTGAGAGGGAGGGAGGGAGGAGCACAGGAGACTGTGGTGATGGTGCATGGGTGCCTTGGGGAAGGAGATTCTATGGGGACTCAATCTGAGAGGGTGGGGGGAAGCAAATATTGTCTAAAAAATGTAAAAAATGATAAATGTTAAAATAAACAAATGAAAAACCTAGACCTAGACCTAGACCCAAAAAACTTAGACCTATATCTTACTAATTGAAAAAGGCATTTCACCATTCAAAGATATGACTCTTGTCTGTAAAGGAGGGCTGTTTCCATTTATGCCACAGGGTTATTTTGAAAATTAAGGGGCAATATAAATGTAGATACCCACACACACATATGTATTTGACCTATCATGAAATGTCTACTTTCTTTAAACTTACATTGCATGTTTTGAATTTCCTTTACAGTACTTACCACTTTTTTCCTGGTGTTGACTATTGTTTGATTTTTTTCCAAAACAAGTAATGAATACCTGTTTAAAATTACTGTGGTAACACACTGACAATGCATTTTGCTATGTGCTTTGGTGCATACAAAAAGATGTGTAGTTTGACATCAGTTCTAGATTGTACAAATTTTCTACTTTCCCCACTAGAATCCTCATTCTACATCATGGTTCCCCTTCACAAAATTTAGTCATTCCACAAGAATCTCATATGCTTGGATAGTTTAATCTCTCTATTTTAATGACTTTACTTATCAGCTCCATCCTGATCCATGCTCTGTTAATTTTACTCTAAAGTTTCATATCTTCATCATACTATTTAATTAAATGCCTCCACGAGAATGTCCCATAGGAATTCTTGAAAAAATAGGACTAATTTTTATTACTCCTTTGCTTACTATTTTTATTCAAGACATACTTTTCTTTTTAGTGGCTCCCCACAAAACCCCAAGAACATCTAACTTAATAATTTTATCACATACTATTATTTCTATTTCCACATTCCCCTTTTTCTAGATCCTTTATATCTTCATGGCCTCTTCTTTAGATTGATCTTAGTTGTCTAATTGAACACCTGGCTTCACTATCCCTCCCTGCTCCTTTCTATTCAGTATTAATTCCTTAATTCAAGACAAGCTCCCATCATTACTTCATGCAAAGGATTTATTATCTGTCTGTCTGTTGGTCTATCTTTCATCATCATCTATCTAAATAATAATGTCAACACCCTTAGACTCACCATGGATGTTGAAAATGAAGACTTCAGCAATACTTGCATCTAACTACATAGTAACTCTAGTTGCATGCTCCTGACTTCCCTCTCATGACTATCCATCCTCTCATCCAGAACTCTATGCTCATTTTGTCTTGATTTTGTTTTTTAGTGCATTTTTATTGCAAATATATCTGTGCCCTGAAAGTTTACTTTTTGGTTGCTATAAATGATTATTATCTTATTATATAAGAATATCAATAAGAATATTTTGGTATTAACTTTTTTAAAAGATTTATTTATTTATGCATTCAAGAACTGGGGTACAGGCCAGAGATGTTGTGGGGAGGGTGAGAGGATTCACCAGAGACAGAGTAGGGAACAGAATAGGCAGGTTGACTGAAATACACTGCTGAGGAGAGAAGTGGGCAAGTCAGGAGAGATGTGCTGTGCCATCTGGGTAGCTCCCTGGCTGGGGATCGAACTCCCGCCGGAGTGGCTGTGGATAGTTTCATAGGTTGCATCTTAACCCCTTGCACTACCAGGAATGCCCAGTATTTACATTTTTAAAAATTACTATTATATTGCTAAAATTCAACTAAATTATAGCATGTCTCTTTGGGCCATTCAGGAAAGAAAAGCATTTCTCTACTGATTGTGGTGACACCCCATCACTAAAGACATTTTTGCTGCACAATGGTGGGCAAGAAACACCCTGTCTACAACTATGGTTTGTCTGGGGCATGTTTTGTATTTCCATGCCCAATAACAGGTTAATAGTGACTGAAAAAAAAAAAAAGAGGCGGTAGTACTGCAGACTTAGACCCCTTAGGAATGAAAGTTTGGGTCACCTCAGAAAATGAGGACTGAATGAGATATATTTAGTAGCTCCTTTCCAAGAGTTGAGTATCAGATATGTCATCTGACTTCTGAGTTCTTAGGCTCTAGTATCACCAGTTTTCCCTTTTGTCTCCCTAATCTTAAGAGAAGTAGTTTGGTCCAGCAGTTAATAATCTCTAGGTTACCTGGACATCTCTGTTTTTTCTCCTTCAGTCTCTTCCAGAACACACCTATATATCTAAATCCCTGTATTTAGACTTGTTTTTAAAAATACCAGATGTGACTTCTGTTTCCTGAAAGGACCCTCACTGACATGATGAACCCTATCACAGTAGCTAGATAAATCTTTTCTAGACTTGGTTAATTATAGTATTAATAAATAAATAAATAAATAAATAATTATTAATTATTACTGCATGATAGCGTCTTTGACAGAATTAATGAAAGATGGCTAAGACAATGACATAAAAATGCAATGATTTTCATATTTATTTGAAGTTATAAATGTACACAGATTCTTATGATAATTATAGGAAATATGGTAGAAGTCAGCTTTGTCTAAATTTTTACAGAGGTACAGAGTGAGATTGATGAGGCAGTTAATTGGTGTATCAGTATATTTCTCCTAAGTGTGTACCTCCTCAGTTGCTCTTTTATCCTATCCCTTTGCCACTTCATAATTCACTGTGGAAAATATTTGAAATGTCTTAGGCCATTTGGTCTTAAGTTTACCTGTAATAGGAAAATTAATCCTGTATTATGATAATTGCGATACTTCTCATCTGTGGTTTTTGAAAGACACAGAAAGTGTTAAAAGAACAATAATGTCATCTTCCAACATCCATGGAAAGGTTCTTGACAATGTGAATTATCTATAGAAGGTAGTACTTTTACATTTTTACCAGTAGTTAAAAATGGTAGATAGTAAAATAACTTGTACATTCTTGTAAATACACTCCATTCACCTTTCAAAACATTATTTTGTGTGGAGACATGATACTTAAAGATAATCATTTATATATTAATATTATGAAAAAAGTCACAATTTTCTCATAAACAGAATCAAATAATAGCTGGTGGTATTCCTTATTGGGTATTTAATGACCCTCACGACTGGATCCAGAATTAATGTTTCATCTTCCCTGGACCATGCTGGAGAAACATGGTCATATTTTTAATACTGCTCTTTTTTCTTTACTTATTATTTGGCACTCAAAGATTTTGTCACCATAGTTTTATTTCATATTTAAATTAATTAGTTCAGCACTTTATTATATTAATTAAATTGTAATAATTAACTTTAAATGCAATAACTAAAAATGAATGTCATTTTAGTAAGATATTAGGAAGGATCTTATGTTTTTGAGAAACAGTTTATTTTAATCAACAATATAGTAAGAACAAAATATCTACCCAGAGCATTTTCTTTAAAGATTTAATAGAGGGTAAACAATCAGACTAGAATCTGATTATGTCTGATCATCATGATATTACAACTTAGATAATTTCATTTGTTCATCCCACTTTCCACCAAAAATTATTAGATAAACTTTATAGACCAAAACTGTGAAAAGTGTTGTGTTAAGACAGTACCTAGCTTCAGAGGATTGCAAGCATAGTATTGAAATTATAGTTGAATAAAATTGACATTTGAATGATTTATTAATTATAAACTATTGTGATCCTCACACTTTATGACAGTGTAGGGGGAAGATATTATTATTCCTAACATGTAAATGTAGAAGCTGAACTTCACCCTTCTCAGCTATATTTTGAATCATAACTTAGTTGAAACATAAACTCAATATTCCTGAGCTGCCATTCTGCCAAAAGATAATAATGGGTACAAAATGACTTTCCACTAATTGTATCAAATTATTATAAGATCTTTGATGAGGAATTTCCAGCTAGAAAGATCAAAAGTGGCATCTTGGAGAGGGTTTACATTGGAGATGAATTTCCAAGTACATCCTAATTGGTGACTGCAGTCTCCATATAAGCTCATATTTACTGTGAGGAGATTCTCTTGCTGAACAACTTCCCCAGGGCAGCCTTCATGTCTCGATTTCTCAGACTGTAGATGAAAGGATTTAACATGGGGGTCACTGCCATGTACATCACAGTTATCACAGCATCCTTTAGGCTA